GCATCTTGCCATTTTGATTTTTGATTAATAATTAGTGTCCTGCTTTGCTTAGCAAACTTAAAGTCATGTAACAGAAGTTATGGCTGAATTGATTTATGTATTGTGACATATTTCAGAGTGAAACAGGTTTTAGAATGTGAAAAATTAAAGGGCGGGACTTTATTAATCGTTAAAGTAAATGTATAAATTCAAGGGTGGGGGTAAAGGAGTAGCCTAGGTATCTTGGTGAATGGGACCTTAAGGGCAGAAAATGCACATTTTATCTCAATAAAAAACTATCTTTATATAATTTGTACGATTTTTAATGAAATATGAATTTTTAATAATCAAAATTAGTTTGTGTCTACTTATTTTATTCATCAGTGTTTGAACCATTAAAGAAGAAACATTTGTCAAAACAAATATGTCTTAGCTGAGCTCTTAATGAAAAATATTTATATATATCAATGTTTTGAACTAAAAAATATTACTTGAAAAATAAAACAAATAATGGTAAATTTAATTGAAAGACAAATTATTAATTGGATTAAGTACTGCTTGAAAAACTTTTTTCAGTGTACATATACTTTCCATAAGTCACAGCCAACTCACACCTGTTTTATTTTTGAATGCATTTATAGTTACATTAATTACAATAAATTACAGTATGTAAGGAATAATTGATGACGGGCCGTTGCATTATTAGAAAATAATGCACACCCAAGGTGATTTTGGACCCATAAAAACAATTGCCTCAAAGATGTTAGAAAAATTATTTTTCTTTGAAGCTAGAAACTGCCATTAATACAAAAGCAAAAAATAATCAGCTAATGTAATAAAACATTCTCAAGCTTACTGAAGGCAAGTAAACACTCCAAGTATTACTTACAAGCTAAATGATAAATAAATATATTACTCAAAAATACAAATCAAATAGTTTTTTTTTCACTGTATGCATTAAATATAGATGATTCTTATTCAAGTTAATAAGTGATTCAGTCAAGAGCAGTGAGTGATTTTCTCCTTTTCTTTTGTTTGATTAACATTTATGACTCAGTCGGCGGCTGTAGGTTTACGCTGTTGCTTTAAGATCTGACGTATAGATCAAATATTTTGACACATCTGTATTTCTCCCAACTGTTCAAGTTCACTTAAGACAAAACCGACTGCATTTACATGAATAGTCTCCAAGACGGGCATTTTGACATAACTTTTCGTGTAAGTGTGTAGCAATAACAGAACTTAAGAGAACTTAAGCGAAAGAGAACTCTGCATTCGCAGGCTGACTGAGAGGCGCGTTCACATATCGCGCCTTTTGCACGCTCAAGTTCGTTATTTCAAATGTAGACGCGTGGCAGGCGCGCTCATAATGAAAGTGACGCGCACGCGGTGCGACGCGCTCATTTTTTCCTGGCGCGTCCGCGCCGCATTGAAATAAAAACATTTAAACTTTTCAGAACAACTTTTCATGTGACAAGAACCAACCAATCAGCTTCATCCTTTCCTGTAACAACATTGAAAGCTCAGCCAAGATGAAGGAACAGTTGATCATAACTGTACAGGGATAGCCATTTTTAAATAAATTTAGTAGCGGAGCTACTGCAAGCGATTTTTAGTGCTGCAAATCCATTTATCCTTTGCTGAAACTTCAGCATCTTCGTGGAGAGCGCAGGTCATGGTTGCTTAGCAACGGCAGACGCCTCCGGAGCGCAAGCGCCCGAACGCTTTGGAAAAAAGCAGAAAGCGGTACGCCTAGCGTTTTCCACGCGTTTTAGGTGCGATAATGCATTGAGTCAGTGAAATTTCTGTCAACTGTCCCTGGACTCGGTTGGACTCAGACATATTTTTCGAGTCCGAGTCAAGTCCGAGTAAAAATGCATCTGAGTCCGTGACAAGTCTGAGTCCTTTAAAAAACTGTACTCGAGACCGGACTCGAGTCCGAGTACCCCAACACTAGTAAACGGCAATTGATGATGGATAATCAACAGTAACAACAAGGTCGTGCCAGTTGAGGCTCACGCAGCCTGTGTGTATGTGAAACAATTTTAAAACAAATTTCAATTGAGAAATTAAAACAAATGAACACAACTGCCCACAGAAGAAACATAAAAATGTAACTTAGTTTTTATATTTATAACATACAGCCTATTAAGCAACATGACACGACCAATAGAGTGAAGTTTTCCTGGAAACCACGATAGCAAATTTGACATGTTATACAAGAGTTAAAATGAGTTGTTAATATACATTTGAATTAAATATTTGAATTTATTGAAAGTATATATTGTCAACGTTGACTGTTTTTGCTCGATTTGGTTAATGAAAATAGTTCCAAACAAAGATCACAGCAGAACAGTCGCACATCTCTGAGCAACACACAGCGGCGTTTCCTCACTGAATGATTTGCGTTTTTGAATTTTGAATCATTTGAGTCAATGATTCAGTGGTCCGTTCATTCTTGAATGAACCAGCAGTCTGAACGAATCGTTTGAAGGCATGGTTTGAAGGCATACTTTCATAGTAGCTTATCTTTGCATTTTTTCCAACATTTCATATTTGTATATTTAAAAAAAAAAAAAACTATTTTAAAACACCAAGCTCACAAGATTATTTATGCTGTTATAATTTTGCAGTGTATGCATTCGTGCTACATTTCATTTACATTGAACTGTCTGTGTAAATGCATCTGAATGCCACTCCATTCACTTCTGTTTCTTCTGCAGTGGAAAGATCAGTTTTGTAGATACTGATTTCATTTGATTGGTAACAGCCCTATATTGTCGTCTTGTATTAAGTGAAATTATTAATAAAATGTAAGAATTTGATACGAAAGATGATGCATGCATTTAATATGGTTAGGGAAAAATGCCCTTTAATTAGGGTAAAAATGACCTGGAAATCAATTGAAATAAAATTAAATAATAAATAATATAATTTTATTCATAATTTTACTTTTGTTTTAATTTTTTGTAATTTATTGTTTATTATATAATTTTATAAAAAATATTTTATTCATAACTTTACATTTACATTTACATATTTTTATTTTTGTGTTTTATTTTACTTTTTTAATTGTTTTTATTTTGTTTTATTGCAGTTATTTTTATGAAATATATTTTTCTGTCATTTAAATTATCATCTGTACGGCCAAAAATGATAGAGCATTTTAAGTTCTTATTGCTGCTATCAGGAAAAAATGCAAAATTTTATTTTATTTTATTTTTATTGTTTTTTTTATTGTATATTTTTTACTTTTTGTAATTAAGCATGAGAAAAAGAGAGGGAGTCCATTATACACACTCACATCTTCATCTTCATATAGAAGAGAAGAGACATTTAGCTTTCTAAGTGCATGTGCTCTTTGGTTTAATTACTTTAGCAAAGATTCAGAAAACCTGTGCTTGACACTTTAATGTCCGAATTATGGTAGAAAATAAGATCTTACATCAGAACCCTGCAGAGGCTTTATGGTGTTACTCTTTATGTTGATCACTGTAAGAGAAAATGCTAGAAACAGATTTTATGCATGAGCACTTATATTTGAAGCATAAAAAGTGGTATTGAGCACTATGGAGATCTCTTAAAAAAATTAATTGCTTAATTTATAGAGGTCTTGTCCCTATTTATGGCATTTTGCTCTCAGTGAGGGCAGTAAAATTGTGCTGGAAACTTGTCACACTGCACCTAGTCAGGGCACGGTGTGTTCATTGTGTTGCTTTGTGATTTAGCCACTGCGCCAAGCAATGGGATTGTAATGTAAATCTCATTGCCAAAAATATTTTTGTG